GAAAAACTCACAGAACTTAACTAAATCCGTATTTATCAGAATTTATGTGGCGCAAACAAATTAGAATCCATTTACCTCAATTATAAAAGATGTTTATTATTTTTACAGTGATTGTCATCATACACCCGTGAAATGAAATTACCGTTGATTTTTATCGAATAGTGAAATGAATTAAATAGAGAAATATAAATACTCCCCATGAAGACAATAATAGAAATAATATTCAGAGATAATTTTAATTATATATTCTTAATGATTACGTTTCAATGTGCAAAGTATATATTATTTTATGAATATTAAACCAATTGGAACAAATTCTGTTAAGTTGAAACTGTAACTTTGAAATGTCCAAAATGTTGGCTAACTAGGCGATACTATGCAACTCGATATTTAATAGCAGTTGTACCTCTTTGGATAAATTTGAAATTCGATTGTCAATTGCAGCCTAATTATGATTTAAATTCACGTAAACATAAAAATCTGATATAATAATATGATGAGTTTAAAATGTTGAAATCTAGATTAATATTATTAGATTATTATTATTATTAATATCGAGACATTGCAGTCCGTTTGGAATAATATTTTTGGATGAGTTTTGAAGAATTTTAAGTATGTATTTATATCCAATTTTACAATCCCATAAACTATAAATTGTTAGTTTAAATTAATTTATAAGGTATTAAAGTCGGCAATAATTAATTGTGCGGTACCTAAAACCATTAATTATTTTGAATATATCATTTATTAAAGAATGCCATTACTTCTTCTTGGTTATTTTTATTATCTCCCATAACAATTTTCAATCTACATTTTTATTTTATTTTTTAGTGATGATTTTTGAAAGCTGTGTTAGCTTTAGCTGTATGTCAGACCTAATTATCAACATTCAAATAATTAAGTTATAATTAATTAAACGGAATCTACAGATAATCTTAAGAAGCAATCTTTTTCCCAAGTCTGTTGTTCCAAAATCTAATTAACACCTTGTTAAATTATTGCTGTAATATGAATTTAATTTTAATTACTTACTGTGACCTAGTTTTATAATTTGTTTTTAAAAAAGTTTGTTAAATTTACTGAATATTTTAAATACTAAAACAATTTAAATTACCACTCAGCCAATGTTTGAATTGCTGTAAACTTGCTGACCATTTCAAGATTTCTAAGCTATCGCTCAACCCAAAATAAAATTGTTCTAAAGATATAAACAGTTAAATACTTACATTTTAGTTAATACCCAAAATACTAAAATAGATTTCGAAGTCAGCCATATTCATAATAAACACAAAGTAGGAACTTTTTAGATTCCTACCTAAATTTAGATATTTATTAACCAAATGTCTTATGTTCCTCCAGGATTGATGATGTTATATTTGAAGATGTAGTGCACATCACAAGACATGCGTAATACAACGTGACATGCTAGGATGTAGTATGTTCTTAAATGTTTAATGTATGAATAAATTATTAAATATTTCCATTATTTATCTATATTTTCAAAATTTACTAGAAAAATATTATTTTAAAACAATTATATAGAAATAATTATCACATATTAAGTAGAGCATAGGAGATGAGAAATACAGCAGTGGCACACCTCATGGTGAATCCTCTGTTATGGTTGAGCACCTCTATAGAGAAAAATTTCTTCTGTTAAAAATTCTCAAATTGTATAATATCCAACGGAACAAACTTGTTACACAGAATATACTCAAAAGAGGGGAATTTACTCCTTGCGTAACATCATTCCGAAAATAGAATCCTTTCTTTGTTTCCAACTTCCACAAAGGATTTTATGTTTCATAGAAAATTAACTTCAAGTTTTAAATAGAAGTCATTTCCCTTGATTTCAGTCACTCCAATAGTATTTGCACATACTTCATCAAAGAAATAACTCTAGTTTTGGAGTAATGTAACTCCCAAGGCAATTATGTTCCCCATTTTATTCTTCCAATTTTAATTTTCCTTTAAATTTAAACTTATTTCATTGAACAGAAGCTGAAAAACAATGATAGTATAACTCGAAAATATTCCAAAATAATACTATAAGTTAATTAAAATATTAACAAAAGTACTGTTTCCCAGCAATGTTGAAAATATATTAAAGATTTTGGTAGGTAATTTTTTTTTTTAACCCTGAATTCTCAGCCATTGGGTTGCTTAAACATAAGAGATATGGAAATTATAAGATTAAAATTGTGTTAAATATTATAGCTTAGAGGGTATTTCCCTTTTAAACCATCTGATTGAAGGAATAGTCTATTGAATAAGACTGTAACAGGCATAGTTGCAGATTTTCCATTTTAATTGGGGAGGCAATGGACAAAAATACAAAATGTTCATATTGTTTGTAAAAATTCAACATAATCATTGTAAAACAAAAAATATAATATTGAATATTTAAACATCAAATGTTTGGACACTTGTACTATTATTTTTTTTTCTTTTTATGTGTACATTGATATACTTCAAAATGTCTGAACAAAACAATCCTATATATTATTTCTAAAAGTTGTATTTTTTCGGTACACCATAACTTTGTCAATTCTTCATCATATCCAATGATTGACCACTAATTTTGAACATATTTTTCTCCTTTACATGGGAAAAATAGTCCTATTCTCCTGAAATTTTTGGAAAAAAAATTATGGAGGAAAAGAAACTTTATTAGCAAATAACTCAAAAAGTATGCATTTTTTTCTCGATTGTACCAATAGAAAGATTACTAAATTACCTAGAAAACCAAAAAAAATCAGACAATTATTAACAAAGATGCAGTCCATTAGTTTTGGTGTACTTAATAATGTCTTCCTGTTTAAAGATATTGCATTTAGGAGTAGAATAATCTACTATATTTTTTTTTCTGGCTTTTACATTAACTTTATTATTTCTTAAAGACATTTGGTTGTTCTTACATTTTATTTTTTTTTTTTAATAATTTAGAATATCCTTTGATCGGGGCATTATTTTGTCTTTATTATCTTTCCAGTCAGCATTTAAAAATAGGTCCTAGCAAAGCAATTTGTACAAATATTTTGGTCTATTATGTTAAATGGAATATTGTAATCAACTAAGGAAAAAATATTAATTCCTTCCTTACATAATACATAGGAACTACTTATTTTCATATTGTTTTGCTATTTCTTTACTAAACAAAATTTTTCGCACGGGCCAAAATGGGAGGAAGAGGAACAACCTCCATAACATAGGTACATACCTAGAATTTTTAAAATAGTTCAGTAGTTACTTATAGGGCGGCCTTAGCCTAGCCAGTCTTTTCTTAATCAACTTTAGTTTACATATTTTATTCATTCATGTATTGTAGCTTATTTGTTATCAATTTTAATTTTTTTTTCTTGAAATTATTGGGGGGGGGGGAACGAAACAACATCCCCTCAACTTTTTTATTGGTGGGAGGGCGATCACCCCTCAAAGTCTACGCCTATGATACCAGGTAAGTGGATATAGAACGAATTTGTCCATAAATGGCTTTAGTTGTTAATTCAGTCACCATTAAACCTCATTAGAGGCACCATTTTTTTTCTTCCATAGCTACCAAAAATTTCCCACTCACAAAACAAGTTTCATAAAACAGTATCGTTTTAATAGAGTTGAACATGTTGCAATGGCAACGAACTACACTTCATAAATAGCATTAGTTTTCTGTTACCATTAAATAAAACTGCTGCAGGATCACATCGAATGCCTTTCGAAGCTTAGTGAGCATGTTTTTAGTAAATTATGTTAGGTGATTTAAATAATTCAAAATTGTGGATTTTTGTGAAAAATGAAGAACATGGAAGACTACCAAAGAAATGGTGTGATCTATTATAAGTAGCAAAAACCTAATGAAACCGTTAATACATCATGATCAAAAATCATAAGTCAGCTCAAAGTGATGTTTTTCTTCATGATAATACACCTTCACATAAAGTAAAACCAGTGTAAGAAACGATTAAGGCATTCCATAGAGAAATATACCTTGCTCACCGGACTAGACTCCATACCTTATACGCCTGGTAAATATCTTAATATTAGTTGACATCTTTATTTATGCCACGGTTATAGAAGTTTTTTATTTATTCCTAAAATAAGGCTACTCATATAAAACGTAGAAATATTAAACATATTTTTAGTCAGGACTTAATTTTAGATTATTTCATATTTGACAAAGAATGAAACATGGGTTTTTAAGTGGACCTGACACGATCAGTCATGTATAACAGTCAAAAGACTGACAAGAATTGCTTCAATCATGATGATCCTTACACGTATCAGACTGACACCATTTCAGCTCAGTTGACGTTGACTTAAAAAGCAGCGTGGATCTGGTGCATAGTCCATTAATAAAAATTTGTTTCATTAAAAAAGCATTGGACATTAAGAAAAAAATCGAGATTTGATTATTACTTTATAGTGCCTGAAAATCATTTTGACAAAAGTCAGAAAATATAAATCAACTACTTACAAAAATTAAGGAAAAATATTATGAAAATAAAAAATGGAAAATAACTGACAAATATAAAAAACATTAATTTTTTCTTAAACTAAATTGTGAAGTTTCCACTTTTTTTTTTTTTTTTAAATTATTTCCCACTTGACTATTTAAAAAAAAATTAGTTGTAGATAGTTTATAAAAATATAAACTAGAGATATAAAAAACTATTTATTTTTCATGAAAATCAGGATATACAATGGTTATGAGGCCAAGATAAACTAATCTATCTAGTAGTAAGGTTAGTCTCTCCACCACTTTTACCTCAGTATTCCCTGCACTTCTCGTGATTGAACCTTTTACTTCAGGATTTTCGGAAATCCGTCAGTAACGTCTATCAGTACTCAACTATAACCTTACACGATCAATCAGAATGTCAATAATACAATGGAATGCCATTCCGAATGACCGTGTAGGGTCTGCTATACAAACTAATTCGAATCAAGTTAAGTCATGAACACAATCCTTAAGAATAATATGTGGTAAAAGAAAACAGAATAAATTCAAAATTAAAATTAAAGATTTATTTAATGCAATAATACCCTTTAAAACAAAAGACATAACAATTCAACATTAACTTAAATCACTCAATATACATATTTTTTTACATCATTTAAACCCAATAAATTTTAAAAAGTACCAACAAAGAAATAAACAAACAAAAAAAAAATTGAAAAAATGTATACATCATTTTTTGCATCACAAAAGTTTCTCAACTTTAAACAATAATTATTTTTTCGATCAATTTTTATACAAATAAAAAATTAAAGGAATGATGATGTTAACTCGACTCCTAATTTGTATTCAGTCTTTAATACACTAACATAACTTATATATGGAAGCACACAAAAATTATTAATACAAATAGTATTCGATAATCAAACAAAATGTAAATGGATGACCTAAAATATCAAGCTACGAATATTTCATAAAGGTCATAAACATTGAATATAAATAATATATTCATGCAAAAAACAATTTATTTTTATGTTCACAAAAATGCACACAGCATTACGTAGTCCGAGAATGATTCTTACACAAGCAAATACATTTCATTAAAACACAAGACTTTGAAAGATATAACAAAAATAAAATAAATATATACAATCAAAAAATTTTCCTATTTAATTGACCTTTCTCTTTTAAATATTTTAATCTTTCTTTCCTAAACAATTAATACTTGTAAATTCCATTATGCATAAATATATAATAATTAAATTCCCCAGGGAAAAATTTGTAAATGTGAAATATGCTTCACTAACAAGATGTTTAAAATTACCATAGAAATACAATTATCATATTCATCTTTAAAAAAGATCAGGATCTGGTTTTAATAAATAAATAAAAAATAGATTTAAAAAATTATAGAAAAAACAACCAAAAGCAGTCAATCTACCATTAAACACTGCTTTATAACTGTAATAAAAAATTATTGTTATTTTTATTGAAAAATAATTCTAATAGTGTAATTTTTTTCAATCAATAAATACATAGTAATTAAGTAATCAGCTGTTTTTGTTTTTTTAAAACAAATATTTCTTACATATTTACACAAATATACCAGTAAAAATGGTAAAATATTAAACGATTCCTTCCATTATCACGATTGGCTCATCCAATCATATCCACTTTTTTTTTATTTTGTTTTGTTTTTACTTTCGAAAAATTCATGTTAATTAATAAAATTTCTTGGCTTGTGCTCCCTTATTGTCCCTGTAACAGAAAAAATAAAAACATGAAGATGAATATAACTGTAAATACTCCTAAAACAAAATATATAAAATTATAAATGTATATTACACCAACCCTTTTATATCTAATATACAGTTTAACACTGTATTTCTGCACAATCTTTTGATTTCATACAGAGAAAATTCATCTAAGTACTAAGTGGTCTTATTTTAGTAAATGTTACGTAATCACTTTTTCAAATAAAACCGATCAAATGAAAATTTATGTATAATCTGTCATAAATTTGAAAAACATTATCTCATCTCAACAGTATAACAACACGATATATGTTAATTTTGAGATAGCACATCAAAACCATGGAGGGAGGGGAAAAACAAAAAATCGGACAAACTGATATTTTGGCTGAAATTCATCATCATTTTAACAATATTGATCTTCCAAGAAAATAATACATACCAAAATTCAAATTATTTTATTTAAATGAAATTGTTGGAAGTGCACAAATTTAATAGGGAAGAGGAAATACCATAATAAAATGGAAAATCTTTAAAGATTAACTGCTCAAAATTTAAAAAAATTCAAAAGTACAAAAATGTTAAGGTCTTAGAAAGATGATGAAATCTGAACAGTTTTAATTTTTTTTTTCCGTTACAGGCCATCTACATCTTTTACCGCCTGCTCAATCTTTGCCTGTCTTGGGCTATTTCTTTCCATTTATCTGCACGTAGCTCTATTGTATCTTTGTTGATTCTATCTATTCACCTGCTTTTCAGCCTTCCACGTGGTCTTTTGCCTTCTATTGTTATGCAGAGGCTTCCAGATGGATTGCTATAAACTACATGCCCCGCCCATCTTAACCTCCGTGCCTTCATATCATGGGATATTGATTGACCAGTTTCTGTAAGCAGTTTTTTATTGGTCTTTCTTCTCCATGTGTTAGTACTATAATCTCAGATCGCTCCGGTTATCGTGGGGAGGACTTTCTTCTCAAATCTTTCACCACTTTTTTTCTAGGGTGGTAGTTAGTCTCACAGCCATATATTAAAACTGGCTTTATCATAGCATTGTACATCCTTAGTTTCAGAGGCAGTGCGATTTTCTGAGGGTTAGTTTAGGTTTAACGTAATAAGTTGTTTTTTCCGGGATAGGGTTATTAGCCCTAACACAGGGATCGCTCATCTCCCTGTGAATCTCTGGGTGGAGACGTCACCCAGTAACTTTACATTTTCGATAAGTATGTAAATAAAACCTAATTGCAAGAGTGCAGTGAATTAAGGTTCTCAAACTGCTGCAAGGTAATCTCGCAGTATATGCCTACACATAGCACATTTTTACAGACTGAACCAACACAGTATATCCACCACAGAATCACTAAAAACTAAATTTTACCCGCTGTCCCAAAGTTTTTTTTCTTATCTCAAAATTGAAGTTAACTCTGTTTTTCATCTGCTGTCAAATATTATTGTTATTCCAACTAGTAGGCCCGTGCGAAAAATTCGCACAGCACATTGTTATCAAATGCCAGATTAATAAGAAAAAAAAAAATCTTATCAAAAGATAAATAAATCAAACATTACTTTATCGACAAAGAAAACAAAAATTAATTTAAATCTTCATTTTTGTTTGGAATCAACATGTTTACAAATTTCAGTAAGCTGTATCTTTGCTAAAAATTGTCCGATTTCAATGATTTTTTTTTTCACTGTGTAGGGAATTTATTAATCTTTTATATAATCACAGGCATTTGTTTGTTTGTTTTCTTTCATAACTTTTTTGCCTGAGTTTTCGAGATGATTGAACTATTTTGTCCACCTAAAGGAGAAGGAAGCCTTCGAAATTGGTGGCTCAATCCTGAGATTTGCTGAAAAATTGACGATGATATGGCTTGCCGATCAAAAAAACCATTGATAAATAATATAAACTCCTCCTGTCTCGATAATAGAGACCTCAAGTCGACGAAATGAGACATGTATTCAATGACAGTACTACAATTAATGTAAGGTTGTGTGGATGCGAACCCTATGCCTAGCGTTATCTCGAAAATAGTACGCTTTTGGGCTTAAAAATGCAGGATCCGATAGTTCCGGAGGAACTATCCGGGTCTTGCTGTACGCATCAAAATCTTCTAGATCCAATTTGTCCCGTATCGATCTACAGACCTACCACTGTTCAGGTATTGAAGCCTAGCAAACTGTTTGTATCGACTTTATTTATTTTAGAAAGAAAAACAAAAACGGAGATTAAGATTCGCTAATGAAATTCTGAATCTAACGGTACCCCATTCATGGTATTTGAGCATGACAGGAGCTTATATTTGGTACAAAACCGATTTTGAGCCTTTTTTTTTTTTTAATAAAAACGTGCTTCAAGTTCCCAATTTTTTAATTTTGATTTTTTATTAAAGATACCTGAACAAAAGGAGGTTCTTTTCTGTAGAAAATATAAAACAAAAATCTCATTCAAAAATATTTGTAACTGATTTTTGGATATTTTATGGATTGGTTTCTTAACTATGCTAAATGCTGTCTAATCAATTAAAATATGAAATTATGATTTTATGCGCACAACAAATATTATATATATATGATCTTACCTGTATAATAAGTATACGAACATTACTACAAGATGACCGAAAAATGCTAGGAACAAAACTAGGGGTGTTATGCAAGTTGGGCAAGATTGGGGGGCGGATAGCGGCACTTGCTGTCGAAGGGATCCCATACCCTCTTTGATTTCCCGCAGCATGTCAGTAGTTTCTTGACTCTGAGGGGCTCCACCTCCTCCCTGCTGCGATAATGAATCGGTTTTTCTGACAATATCCATCAGGTACCCTCTAAAATAATTAAAACATATTTATATAATTTTAATAATTTAAAAAAACAGAAAACTTTCAAGAGTACTTTGCACAATAAAATTTTTAAATCTCACTTGAGTTCTCTTGCTTGAGCGATTATTGAATTCTGATTCGACAAAACAGCATCAACTTCATGGCGCCTTATTGTGTCAGTAGTAAGCGGTTGACTCGGAGGAGGCAAACCTGAATTAAAATAAACAATTAATTACTGAAACAAATTACAGAAAATTTTGTGTTTTTATCAAAAAGGCTATTTCCATTAAACAAAATTATTTATCAATTTTTCAATTCCTAACTTTCAATAAAACTTCCTTGTTAAGTGAAATAATTGCCGATTTTCGTCTTTTAGTTTATCATTTTCAAAAATTATCTTTTGTAATCAATCAAAAAAAGTTTTTGTAATATAACATGAAAAAATTGGAGCATAATTCAAGAACCTCAATGGTGTGAACGGTAAAATTCGGCAATTTATTGGCTTGTGATAAAATGATCAATTAGGACTTCAGAACAAATTTGAAGAATTATAAAATCAACATCATAAAAACATTGTGCCAAAAGATCATAGAGGAAATACTTCTTCAAGGGACAGAGTTATTCTTTCATTGGATACCAAGTCACTGTGGTCTCCATGGCAACAAAATGGCTGATAAACTCACCAAGGAAGGCAAATGAGGCTCTACTACTGGAATCCGTAAAGAGCAGTATTGCGTAAAAGCAATGGAGAAAGTTGTTTAATGAAGCAGATCGAGTTCCCATGAGGCTGCAGAGGAAGGAAGCTGTGGCAGAGTTCCGGATGATAACAGGCCACGATTACCTTAGGAAACGTCTAAATAGAATAGGAGTTGCAGACTCTCTACATTGCAATCTATGTAATTCGGGAGCACATATGGATGCAGCATATTCAAGTGTAATGCTCGTGCTTGTTAAACATAAGATATACCACATCGTCCAAATCGGAATGGTACTGGGCTGCAAGATCTCTGATAAAAGAGTCATAAATAATTTTTTTTTAAAAAAGTATCGTCATTTTTAAAATGAAAGATTGTTACTTCTTAAACACTGAGGGCTCAATGTATCACCAAAGATAAAAATAACTAAAAATTACTGCAGAGAAATTATAATTTTAAGTGTACCATTCTAGACCATTCCCAGTCTAATCAGCGACAAGTACAGTGTCTAATTCCGTCTAAGACAGAATATGTGTTTTAGAAAGGGTTAGTGTTGAACAAAGTTAGAGAAAAGAAGCTTTTTTGAAGAAGGGCTACAACAACAATAGTAACAATTGTTAGTAAAGTGTAGGATAACAATGAGATCACACAACTAAAAACAAAAGATCCCCTCTGATATCTATTTTTCTAATATCGTTCCTGACACAAACAATTCAAGGAGAATTTCCAACCTTTAAGAAATTTAAAGCTACTGGTCATCCAACAAATTTATACCCAAACGTATTTAAACACTAATTAAAGAGATGGGAAGAAAATAAAAATAAAATTGAAATAAAAATACACAAGTAAACAGTAAGTAACTAACCCTTCTATGAAATAAGATATCAACCTCTGAATAAAACGGTACGATTTTCAGGAAGAAAAATAATAAAAAAACACTAAGGTGTGTGCTTTATACCACAAGATAGAAGTCAAAACATTAACAATGCGAGATTAATAATATGAAATATAAATTATAAATAATAGCTCATTATAAAGAGGATGAAATGCTGAACATTTCCCTAACTTATAGTATGCAGGTCCTATTTTTATTTTCTGAGATATTTTAATCCATATCTTTCATAAAACTTTTTATCATTTGATTTAAGACACTATTTCTTTCCTTTTCACCTCTCTAACATGGCTTCGCATTGATAGAATTTTGAATAATAGCTCATTACTAAAAGGATAAAATGATAAACATTTCCTTCGAGAACAATATGCAGGTCCGATTTTTAGTTTATGAGATACTTTACTCCGTGTGCAAAAACACTTCAATTAGTCGACTCCAGCCGAATTTATCTGAGTGTTACACATCAGAGATCTGGCGGCTCAATCTAATTCACTCTCCACAAAAAAAAGTGCAAAATGCGCATAAAGAAGTTTTGATTTAAAAAATACACAAAAGTAAACAGTAAGTAATCTTCCCTTCTATCAAATATCATTTATGAAATAAGATATCAACCTCTGAATAAAATGGTTGGTATTCAGGAAGAAAAAGAATAAAATAAAAAAATTATTTCTAGTCTTATCACACAAATAATAAAATAAAAAATAATAAAATAAACATTACCTTGCTGTGCGACAACTTGCTGTGGAACACCACCAGACTGGTGCAATGTAGAAATGAGACCTAAAGCACGCTCTTGTCTACCGACTACTTCATCAATTTTTTGACTAATAAGTTTAACCTAAAACAAAAATAAGTCTATCACGATTTTTTAAAAATTTAACCAAAATTTTTAGATACTATCCATGACAATTTAAATATTAACTTTAAATAACAAACTCTTGAAGTAAGAAAAAACAACACCCTTCTTTTTACAGTATGATTTATTTTATCTTTTGGACAGTCTACTAATTAAACATAACAGAGATCCGCCAAGCGTCTATTTAATGTGTTTTTATACCACTTTGGAGAAGAGGACCTTCCTTCCACATATTCTCCTCGTACTTGAGGTCTTACAATCTAGTAGTGGATCAAATTTTTGTATTAAAACTTGAGGAATGATGGTGTATGTGGAAATTTTTCATTGTAAAGGGATGTAACGTCAACTGCTATAATTGAAACCAAAGCCTTTATTGGGCTGTTATATATTGCAGAAATGTATTTATTCTTTGCAGGACTTAAGTGGTACAATTGATTCCATATTTGGAATAGAAATAATTCGTCTCGCTATGAGTGTACGAAGGTTTCGATTTTGACTTGGTTCTCTAAGATTTGGTGACCGAGAAACACTTTAACAATGTAAAGAAATAGATCAACTGGCACCTGTAAGGGAAATATTTGAAGAGTTTGTCAGAAACTGCCATCTTGTTATTCAGTTGGAGCTCATTATTGTCATTAAGTTCATGTTGTGATGATGTTTGTATTAATTATTCTTGTATCCAATTTCCTATCATAACAAATTTTAATATTCAAGATCCTAACTTTGTCAACATATTTTTTGTTCTGATTTTTAATATATTTTTACTCTCATTTTCCTATACATGAAATATATAGTAGGAAAAAGTATTCCGATCGTGTAAATTTTTGAATCTGAGTTTTCAACATGTTTTGAGGTTCCCCGAGTCAAAATAACTAAGTACCGCAAAATGGTCTGTCTGTGTTAACAGTCTAGCTCAAAAATGAAAAGTCGTACGAAAGTGAAATTGCATATTTAAGGTTTTTATATGCTTGGGATGTTACAGCAACGTTTTCGTCAAAATCGGCTAACCGGGAGTGCCACTTTATATCATGGACTAAACATATTTTTACGATTTTCTCAAAAACGGCTCAAATGGTAAAATTAAGAACTTTTAAATAAAATGTAGATTTTATTCTGAATGATGTTCTTTAACAGGGCTTAAATGGCTAATTTTCAATATTAGTTTCCCCTTAATGTGCCTTTATTTTTTTTTTATTTGAACCAATTAACCATTTCACATTGATCTCTAATATAAAATATGAAAGTACTTGATAATTAACTAGAGGCGAAATAAGAGATCGTAACGGAAAATAATTGTAATTGAAGAACCAAAGGAATACGAGCACACACGAGCTCAAAGATTAGTACACGCTTCCATGCGTAACATGGGCTTAATATCAGTGGCGGCCTTAAGGTGGGGCAACCAGGGGAATTGCCATGGGGAGCTGACCAATTTTCAGGAGCGCTCACCGCTTGTTAGAAATTAAAAAAAATTTCTTTTTTTATTTATTTTTTGTTTTAAATGTTTACTTACCTTTTGCTATCTGAAAAAGGACAACTGGGAAATCCTCCACCCCTGACCTTTTACTTACCTACCAAACATGTGTCAGTACTTGAACACCCTCAGTGCTCAAACCAGGGTTAGTAAGAGAAAATATTACAAATTCGTATAAATGGATTATATACATTATATTTTTTTAGTTTTTAGTTTTAGTTTGTATAACTATATTAATATTTAAATTTAATATGTGTATTACAATATTAGTTAAGATTCATGTGCCATCAATCACTTTAGTTTATTATTTATAATTAGCGGTCGTATACTATTATATCTCTGATTGTAATTTTTAAAAAACATTTTCAGCCCTGAAGATGATCCACATGGTTGGGTTGAAACGTTGGGAAAAATAAAAAAATTTAAAAAAGACTGCGTCCTGAATATTTATCACCCATGATAAATCAATATAAAGGACGGAGATGGTCCGGGGTGGCAGTCATAAATAGGCTAAATAGTGGCAAAACTATTTTATTTGTTTTACCTACCACTCCTTTCATATACAAATATCTCCTCTATATTCATATTCTCTCAGATAATATAAAAAAATTGATAAAATCGACTATAACCAACTTACGTCTTGGCCTGAAGTCCCATAACAAACTTTCTTTCCTTTTCACCAATTTGAAGGATCCCATACTTTTACAACACCGATCTAATGTAGTTTATCGGATCTCTTGCTCTACTCATAATTGTATTAGCTCCTATATTGGTGAAAATAGTTTTGTCACTATTTATGACCGCCACTCCGGACCATCTCCTTCCTTTATAATGCAACGGTCAACTATTAAATATTCAATAAATCAATATAGCGTTTATAATTTTTACTTCCACATCCTCTTTGTCTCAAAACACTTATTTCTGCTAATAAGTGGCTGGTAAGTAAGAATTGTGAGATGCACGCAATGCACCAGATTTTTTAAATTATGTAACAGTGTTTTTTTATTCAATAAATATGTTTAAAAACTCTGATTAATAAATTGATTTAGTGAAGTGGATCTCACAGATCCGTAGCAACCTCCCATATGATTCTAAGGCTAGCGATCTTTGGAGTGTTAATGAAAATTTTTTATACTTAATTTTTATACATCATCATGGTAAAAAACTGTTTTGGCACTATAGTCTATAGCGACTCACCTTTCTCGATTACCATTTCAAAACGAAAGGTCGGATGATAATGAAATGAGCATAAAAACACTCCTGAATTTGATTATAATATTGTATCAAACTTTCAAGGCAACCAACGAAGAACTTTCAGAGACAAGCAGTTATGAGTAAACTAACATTTACATTTTTATTTATATACACTGTTTCCAAAAGATTTTTATCGATAATAATAAGCTTGCCAATAGCTACTTAATAAAACAAAAAAAAATAAAATAATAAAATCGATTGAGAAACAAAGGAGAAAAGTTACTGAACTGTTTTGCCTTTACCTATTTATATAATGATTACAGGAAATATAGATACAATATATTAAAGATACCTGGTCGAATATCTGACTCATTCCTGAGAAGATTTGTTTCAGTTCTCGCTGCGAATCACTTTCAAACCAATCATCGAATTCATTTTCAGCATCTGGATGATCTTTTTTATACCTTTAAGTAAAATAAAAAATTTTTCAAGTCAAAAGTAGAAAAAGCGCTAAAGATTTTTATAATTAAAAGCCTATTTTTAGTTACTCCTCATTTAATGTAACTTTTATAAGAACCTAGATAATTAAAACTATATTTTTCACTTCAAAGGTTATTCATATATATATATATATATATATACAAGAATTAATTAGGAAAAATGTCTTGTAAATAGATAAATGTTTACTGAAACAAATAAAAAACAAAAAATAAAGATTTTTTTGATAACGGAGGTTTGGTTAAATTCTTGGAAAATATTAAATAGATAATTAAAAGTTTACGTTTTAAAATAAACCTAGAACTTGATTACAAACAAAGTTCTATTTTAAAAACTTTTTAAAAGGTCTCACATCAGTTTCAAGCCCTAAACTACATAAATGTAAAAATTAAAAAAATGATTCTTACTCCTCTTTTTGGAGATCCAATTTCTTCTGAAATTCTTGATACTCTTTTGTTAGTTTAACTTCTTCTTCTTGGCTAAGCTTTGGAACTTGGACTGACGGCGCCGGTGGCTGTGATCCTGGTGGATATAAAGATGTAGTAAGAAAATAAAGAACATCGTGATCATCAGCGAGACCACCAGTTGCGGCAGATATTCCAAAGTAGCCTGCTTTAGGTAAAAATAAATTCTCAACTCGAAGACAGATCTCGTAATCTTGATCTGAGTTGGTCATTCCATTATGGAATAATACCTAAAAATAAAAAATAAAAATTAATAATGTAAATTAGCAAAAAGAAAAATATTAACATAAATTATAAAATAATACAATCGTAACTCACTGTCAATGTGTTCATGTAATATTCAATCTTCGCTCTTGTGGGGAAAGGTTTGTTACGAAAATCTTTAACACAGCCAGAAAGCATCTGCCATGAGCCATCACTATAATAAGAGAAGATAAAAGAATATAATAATAATAATTTTGTAATAAAGATAAAAGAATATAATAATAATAATTTTGTAATAAAGGTAAAAGAACTAAAGAAGATGAAAGTATAAACAAGAAATCTCCCCCTCCCCTCCCACTTAGGCCTTTAATCTCTCTCAAATTGCCTTCCTTCTCCCACATTCATCCTAAAATTTTTCTTAGTTCCTCCACTAACATTTTTCCAGATGGACTATTCTTATTTTTATAAACTGAATTTGTAAGTTCTTTTCTACTTAGATGGATGGACCAAGATCTCATTGTCGAAGTATAAATAGCATTCCGAGAACTACAAGGTATTGACATAATGTAAACAACAAAATCTACCTTTGCCTACATCACGATTTATGAGTTCAGCTAATATTCAACTGATCCAAAAAAAAAAAATAAATAAAATTTTTCACTCTACCAGAGTATATCTAGTTCATCCATAAATACTGTTACAAAAGTTGAACTTTGTTTACATCTTTGTATAATTTAGATAACCCTTGCCTCTATCAGGTTATTTTCTTTACATGTCAGGACAATAATCCCAATTAATTTGTATTTTTCTTTCGCTCATTTAACATGGAGTAGGGTGATAAAGAAAGCCGAATAGCTGTAATCGCCTTACACAAAGTTGGAAAATGTAGGTCAGAGATTTTCAACACTTTGAAACATTTGGGTATCAGCCGTACTTTCGTGTGCCACACTATAAATAGATATAATGAGACCCTATCTGTATGTGGCAAACCTCGACCGGGACGTCCCCGCACTGTGAGAAAGACAAATGGAGTGAGATCAATGGCTCCTCTAATCAGAAGAAATCTTATTCGAGAACAACAAATCATGTCTCGGGAAATGGGAATCTCTTTCAGATCAATGTCTCACATAATAAAAAGTGATCTTAGGATGGGGGCATTTCAAAGAATGACAGGACAGAGGCTAACCACTTCCCTAAAAAAATTTAGAGTGGATAGATGCAAAAGTGCTCTTTGGCCATTAAACCAATGGTCTTCATCGAAAGATTTTGTTTAGTGATAAGAAAATGTTTACAATTGAAGAAAAATTTAATCGCCAAAATTATCGTGTGTACGCACACAGCTCTAAAGAAGTACAGGAAATCATTGGAAGAGTGGAAAGAGGTCATCACCCTTCCTCAGTGATGGTTAGGTGGAGAGTTTGCTTTGATGGCACCACAAAGCTCCATTTTTGTGAAAAAGGAGTTAAAACAGCCACTAAAAAACTATCAGGATGATATTTCGGAACCTGTTGTCAAACCTCAAAATGATACTCTGTTTGCTGGAAGTCATTGGGTTTTCCAGCAGGATTCCGCTCCAGCTCACAAGGCCAGGTTAACTCGGTAGTGGCTACAAAAGAACATTCCAGAGTTCATCTCTGCATCAGATTGGCTCTCAGGAAGCCCTGATCTCAACTCACTAGATTATTGGCTTTGGTTCAAACTGGAGAGGATGGCAGGCCACAGAGCGTTTTCCTCAAGAAGTGCTGAGTGCTGCTATTGATGACTAGCCACGGAGATTAAATGCCTCTGTCAAGGCAAAAGAGAGACATTTTGAGTAATTTATTTTTTTTATTTTTTATTCTCGATAGATACACATTTTACTTTCTAATAAAGTTTTTGAAAAATTTAATCAATTCTGAGGGATTTTTAATGTATCATATCCATTAAAAATTTACCTGAATATTTTTTCTTTTTTTATATTTACAAACATTAATACCAAGCGGAATGTGATTATTAGACCTCAAGCAAATTTGCAGATTGTTATTGTTCAGTATAAGCAAAAGAAAAATAATAAACTAGCTGTCATCATGTCTGATAATGAACTAAATGAGTTTTTGAAATTTGTAGAGAAATATGACAGACAGGTTTCCAAAAGAAAGATCAAATATTCCCTTTGATGACCAAGAATTTAAGATAAGATTGAGATTTTACAAATACCTTAATAACAAGATTTCAGAATGGTAATAGTGGTGATAAGAGAAAATTGTCTTCACTTACAATCTTATGATTGTGTAATTTGATAAGATACTATGCAACAGGAGCATTTCAGGTTTATTATTACGGGCCATTTTAAAAAAAAATAATTATGCTGTAACCATAATAAATTAATTGACCTCAAACTATACTAAACCAGACAGTATATGTTAAAAATAAATAATGTTCTGATTTCTCTAATTGTTTTCTCTTTGTACAGAGTAAAATCCACTTTCTTATTTAGGTAATAAAGCACTTCTTATTTACTAACTTCATCACTTAATGAAAATGGTTTTGTCATGTGCAAAGAATGGAACATGGCAGGTTCCCTAAAATGATAATGGAGGGACATCCGGGTAGAAGAAGGAAAAGAGCCATCATTAAACGCTGCTTGTCCAATCACCTCTTATCTATTCAGTTCTCATAGAATTGTAAATCGATGTTGTAAATAGGTATATATATAATTAGTTTGTTTTAAATACTTTTATTTCATTTTTTTTCTCTTAATTGAAGATTGAAGGTAAATAATATTCTTTTCTTTTATTTATTCATTACATAAATCTGTTTATTTTATAATTATTCTCTGAGGCTCCAAAGCCCACATTTCTATCTCAGTACATTATTCTAAATAAACTTGTCTAAGAATAAATAAAGCAATATTATTATTACATCTGAGTTTTGAAACCTCCCAACTTTATCCATGACTTTTATTATATTTGTAGTAAGATTTTAAGTGTCAAAGTTGGCATTCGCCAATTTCCCATGAAATTCCCTCTACTTTGATACCTTATTTATCAAAATCCAGAGCTCACGGATGAGGGACCTACATATTATATCATTAATGAACATGTCCAATATTATTGTTTTCTATAAAATTCTTCACATGAAAGAAAGCTTAGTGATAGTTTTAATAGAGCTTAGTAAATAATAGAGAGTTTATAACATATTTGGAATACACTGCTAATACTTACTTTGCATGGTCGTATTCTTTAGTTCCGTCATTAGCCATGGCCATAATATAAGGATTGTTATGCTTATTATCATTATCGAACGAGTCGAAGAATAAACCCAGACCGACCCATTTATCAGAGCTTCCAAAAACTGGGCCATCGTATGCTCCTTTATTTTCAACATACCAGAAAGCCTAAAAAGTTTAAAAAAAAATAAATATATTATTATTTAAAAAAAAAAATCTATTATTGTACATTAGATTTTAATGTGAAGGCAAGCAATTTACTAGGGATTACTAAGACTGGAAAAACAATATCACTACTCAAAAAAAAAAAAAAAATGTTTTTATATTTTCAACATATTTTGGCTGTTAGGCCGTTATCAGTTGTTTTAGTAGTGTAAAAGGAGAGCTATTCTAAATAGCCATGTTAAATTTAAATTAAATGTTGGCAGCCGTAACTTCTCAAAAATAAAAAATTGCTGGATAGTGAAGTTATTTTTCCAGTCTCAGAAATACCAAGAAAATTAAATTTAATTAATCATATTAATAAAATCTCATTTGTATTACATACAAAAATGTCATATTAAAAAATAAATAATAAATTCAAAATATCTGTTTTTCTTTCAACTATTTCTGCAATGTTTCCAGCAAAGGTTTCTGGTTGTTTTTTTTTTTTGTGTGTAAACAATCAATTAGAAAATAATAAAAAATATTAAATTTTTCATCAGCACAAGCAATCTATTACTCATATTACTTTTACATCATTACTGCTGAGCAATTGACAAAACATTGAAAGCAAATAGATCACGTATACAAGAAACAAGTAATGCCAAGAATATATTAACTCCAAACTGATGAATGCATAGTAATGATGTGGCTTCAAATTATCATATTGTGGCTAACTGATTTTTCAAATGATTTTCACCTAAAAAGTCTTTTAAGAAATACCTTATGAATGAAAATTTGAAAAATGAATAAAAAGAACATATAAAAAAAAATCATTTAAATTTTCTCAGTAGGTATAAATTAATTTAAAAGAACTAAAATACCAACTAACAAGAACTATAACTTTCTTATCATATTTACCTATGCGAAAAACTGATTTAAGTGCACTGAAACAACACAACCCCTACTACAAGTCAAAACAAAGATTTTACATCCAAAATATTCTAATTTTACAGACAGAAAATTTGTCAAATTACTCAATGATTTAATTCTATGAAATATTATTTAATGACTTTTAATTTATATTTTTAATATAAACGTAAAAAGTCCTGGAAGAAAAAAAGTCCGTAATCAAATACATAACTTGTACAATTTTTAAAATAAAATTGTTCAAATGGCTACTCAAATAAATCATGTTAAGTATTTTCTTTTTTTTTGCATCTAAGTTTAGTAAAAATTTCTTTAAATCTAAATACATTTTTTTCAATATAACTTACAATTTGACTTACATATCATTGGTTTTGATGGAGCTTCACTTTAAAGAATATTTTCATGAATTTCAGCTATATTAATCGTTAAAAAAAACGCATCCAAAATGAAACAAACCCTTTAATATATCAAATATAGTTACAAAAAATATACATGTTATAATTTCAGAAAGAAAGAAATTATTAACGTTCATAGAAATTTAAGGTTTAAAAATGTGACTTAATGACTTTTTGCAATAAACTAACAATATGTTCGAATATATTTTTTTAAATAGATAATACGTATTAAAAAATTATAAGTAAATATCTTATTTTTTTAAACTATAAAAACATTTATTTGTTAACAAAATTGAAGAATCAATTTAGAATTATGTCAGATTTTTAATACAACTGCATCAAATATAGTTGCAAAAAGTACACAACGTTTTAATTTCACAAAGAAAAAAATATCAACATTCATAGAAATCTAAGGTTAAAAATGTGACTTAATGACTTTTTACAATAAACCAACAATATGTTCGACTATATATTTTTTTAAATAGATGATATATATTAAAAAATTATCAGTAATTATCTTCTTTTTTTAACTAAAAAAACATTTAGTTGTCAACAAAATTAAAGAATAAATTTTGAATCATGTCAGATTTGTAATACAGTATCATAAACTGAAACTAAATATGCCAGAAATATTTTAAAATACTGTACAGGACTTTAATGTTTTATTACAAAAAGAACTAAAATACTATCAAGCTGATTATAAGAAATTGAATTCAACAACATCAAAAATAGGTTATAGGTATTTCTCATCTCAAAGTTAGATTAAGTAAACAGATTTACAGCCCATAACTTCAATCAATACGAGTTGGGAACACTTTATAAGACATTAAATATAGCCTCTCCCTCTACCCCCCAACTTAGCACTTTTTTTAACAAAACTTTTTTCATTCGAAGGATAAAATTAATTAGAAATAACTACTAAAATATTGTTAAATTTAATTGTGACTTGGATAGTATCATATGATCTCCATGAATAATGAGATAAAGATAAGATTTGACAAGATTTAATTAAAAGATTTCAAGCAGCAAAGACAGAAGTGAATCATCTGTAATCTTGACTTCTCAGCTATTGATTATAATACTTGATATAGTATAAAAAATCAACATACAACAAACACACAAACACACCCCTTTCACCCAAATAAATATCAAAACACATTATACACAAATACCTTTAAAAATATCATACAACACAAAAACTAACCCACCTAATACTATAAATAAAAACCAAATATTTATAAAACCATCAATTAATACCAATCCCTCACCAAAATATTCAACACCCACAAAAAAAACACACCCACACAATTAATTCAAAAACACCCCCAAAAAATACCACCCCTCAAAACAACCAAACCCACCAAAAACACATAACAAAAAAACAACCTAACCTCCACCCAAACAACCTACCAACCATACAACATACATATACACCCAACCTTCAATCATCCCACTCACCAAAATACCACCACTTAATCACCCTACACACCTAACATAAAACCAACCCCCCCACTACCATATCAAACTTACACTCACCTCTTCTATATCATATCATATAACTTCTCCCACTTCCTAACACTATATCCCCCCTCAAAACCCTAATCTCGAAAACCCCCCTCCTGTCACACTATCTCACTAACCCACCCCTATACCCACATCCCAACATCACCAATATCAACCACTTCTTAACTCATAACCCAAAAACCACAAACCCCCCACACACCTTCCTTAAAACTACAATACCAACAATCCCCACTAAAACCACCACAAAATAACACCATATATACCACCAAAAAACCCCACTATCAAAACTTAAATATTATTCCACCTCAAATAAACCAATATCCCCCATAAAAATAATACCAACCAACCAAAAAACCTTTACACTAAATCCAACAATTCTACAACCCAACACTAAATAATATAATCTAATCAACCAAAAATAATACCACACCACCTAATGACCAATATCTACACATAAATAATAATATATCCACAATCCCTAAAATCCCAACCCCACCACAACACACCCCAACCACTCACATCCCATCCTAACTATTTTTTAGTAGAAAAACTTGAGTTATCAATGACTTACCTTTTTGACTTCTCAAGGAGGGTACCACTCGAACATTTTCAGCACTTGCAATAGCATCTGGAAATCACATTAAAATAAAAATTTCTTCATAGCTATTAATAATATTATAACATTCGATTAAGAAAGCATAAAAGGATGACTTACTTCCACCATATTCCCAAAAAGGCACTGAACCATCTTTTTGGGCAAGATATGGGGGTTTAAAGGAATATTTATACTCAAATTTCCTATGAGGTATTGTTGCTAAAGACGAGCATATATATGAAAATAGGAAAAACTTTAAGAACCACCATACTTCCGCACTCATTTCCTTTATGTCTTGATAACACACTTCGGCTTAATAACATAAGATTGAAGACAGAGAACTACACAAGATAGTACATTGGTCGTTGACGTGGAACTAACTTAGGGGTTACTGAAAACAAAACGTTAACACACCTTTCAAGCAACATCCAACAGATGACTCTGATAGGTCGCGAACGAATAATAGATAATTTGATAACTTATTCTAGAACTTCAAAATATATCAAAGATTATTAAAATCATAAAATTATCACCGTTTCACACATTTCTCAACAAAGTAATCATAGACCAACTCAAAAAAATTGTTTTTTTAATTTAAAATAAATCGATTATCTAATATTAAAAAGTCGATACTCTGTTGATATCGATTATCATGTTCAAAAACTTGAAAGGCTTCAATGCGGTTCTACTTGTGTCAACTTTGATTAAAACTCTTATGCAATGGAAGACGATGTCTCTAAGAAGTTTTCTTCTGGATTACTGGACCACTATGAACCGCCACTTAAGAAAATTGAAAAACAGCTTATGGATTTAACGTAAGGTATTTTTAATGGTTAGTGGATTTTATTGATATTTACTATTTTCAGTCCATCAGTTTCAAAATGTGTCACTTTTTTTTTATTTAAAAACTAACTCTCTTGTTAGTCTGTTCAACAGTGAAATTGTTCCATTTTCGTTGTTTGATTCAATATAATAAATTAGAAAATGTCTTATCAGTGGTGACAGATCAGGAGGCTTTTACATTATTTTATGATATTCAGCCTGTCTCATTGAACTTTGTCTGTATGATATGGCTGTACAATACGAAAATAATTACACTATCAAATATATCATAATTAATGCTTATCATGAGTGGTCTTTTTTCACTTATAAAAACAGTTATTGTATTAATTGATGATTCTAAGTAAAGATTTTTTATCTTCTCTATTAAGATTAATATTGTCATTTCATTTGGTAACATGGTACAAGAGTCACTCCACTTTGACTAGTTGGCCAATTTCTTATGATCACGTTATGAATGTTTTTTTATTTATTTTTTCTTCTGCTATGCCATAGTCATTGGTCATTCGACCATCTGACATCTTGCTGCCCAGTATAAGTTTGATTTTTTTAATATAATCATTTACATATGTTTTATTCCTAATATCCGCCAAAGCAGGACATTTGTTTAGGTGGTCTGCATCCATTTCCGCTTGTTCACATAAGCGTACAAGAGTCACTCCACTTTGACTAGTTGGCCAAGATCTTATGATCACGTTATGAATGAGATTCTGGGAATAACAAAGAATTTACTACTTGTTCACTGTATAATCTCTCTTTATTTAAGTCGTGAACAGCTTCAGCAAACCCTCTAGTGGTCCTTTTCAGTTAAAATCTGGTTGTTAATTAGCTTTAATTACTTCATTGCAAACCCATAAAAATTCCTTTTCAGCAAAGTTTGGGGCTTACCAGATTGTTCGGCCACTTCCATCTATTTTCGGAAACACTGGGCCATTCTCGGGATGTCATTAATTATTTAATCATGAATTCTTGTGCCGCCAATCGAAGTGGAGTGACACTTGTACAATAGTACTTGTTTTTTTAAAATGTTGAAAGTACTTGATATAATATCTATTTCAATACATAATAATCTTATCAAACTTAATACTTTTTTCTAGCAACTATAAAGTTGGGGGCAGTAAATTGTATATATTTAGATAGAAATTTTCCCATCAAACCTCCACTGTTTTATGTTCTCTACTCATTGTTATGTACTTCTAAAAATTTGTTTACAAGTAGAAATTTCTTTTATCAATTTTTGTTTATTATGTAAAGTGAACTGAGTAGAGGGAAAGCTATCTACTCTCGGACAAAAATGTAATTTTGAAGGTATATAAATTCATAAAAACAGAGGCTAGGACTATTTTTCGCACTCAGTTACTTTTAGTATTCTATGTAGTGAGATTGGTATGATATAGTCCTACCTTTTAATCATCTATAGAATTTCTAACTTAGTACCCTTTCGAGACTATGTACACTTTGACTAACGTTATCTTGACCCACTTATCAATCAGCTATGACACTTTTGAACTAGTATTGAAACTTAAAATAAAATAGAAATGTAGCTTGAAATCAGCTTTAAATCTTAAGCCTCAACAACTAAAAAATAGTGCAAGTTTTTGATAGTCAGTGAGTGGTAAAAAACACCAAATATAACTTGACTTAAAATGTGATCCTTTACACTTGATCAATATAGTTTTTAACTTTTCTTCCAGCCATTATTGATTATGGTTGGTTGTTATGGAATTGAGGCATAAAATCTGTCAGTTATCAACGGCGTTAATTAAGTTTATATTTATATTTTTTTTTTTTTTATAGTTATATCTGCTGATAATGATAAAAAAAAAAAAATAAATAAATAAAACAATTAATAATAAAAAGAGAGCGATAAGGTTTAAGATATTTTTAAAAAATCCTTCATCAGAGAGAAAAGATATGACTTTAATCAAGTCTTCTTTCTTATTTCCCAAAGCAGACAATGTACTTGCAGGTATCTCTTTTTCTGATATCCTGCAACTTTCTGATGTAAAAGGCGCAACTTTCGAACTTATGGGCCGTTGTCATTCTCTCCCCTCACCTTAGTGATTAAGTGAAGGTGTGTTAGCCTAGTATGTCCTATTGTGAGTTGGGTAAGAACGACTAGAACTGCTCCATGATTTCACTTTGCTCTTTATGATCTTCAGTTTATTTGGAGGGCTGTTGTCCTATAGTGTCTGTCAATCTTAGTATATTATCTCTTTTGGTGCTCTCTATTAAGCAGAAGCCTTCTTTCTTGAATGGTCATGTATAACCAGCATTTTCAGATATATTCATTTTCACAGTGGAAAATAGTTTCCTTTACCCAGTAATCAACTAAAAAATTAATGATTGAACGTGAGTATAAATTCATAATAAATAGTTCGTTCCCATGTGTTCGTATGAATTCATTTCATTTATTTGAAAGATAAAATACCAAATGACCCAACTTATACAACCAAGGTTAATAAAAAGTGTCTAGAACATATTACCATAATAACAATATAAATTGGATTGCCCATATATATTCATAGTTCTGAAGGACTTTATCAAATTAATCAGATGGATTAATTAATTATAACTTATCGGTATCTATTGTAAAATCAGCTGATTGATATAATCAATAAATATTAATTAAATAATTAATATCTTAAAACATGTAATTGGGTTCAACATTAAAATAAATTGGTTTGTTTTTCAGAACTAGACAGTGTACAACTCTTACAGAAATTGAAGCAGAAAATGTGAAGTTCAAATCTGTCGATATGTCCGAAGTCAACAATCTGGTTAGAAATAATTAAATTTTCTAATTATTAATTGACCATTTTTTTCATTCTTCGCTATTGATGTACTATATTTGTTTTAGTTTGCAACAGTAAAAGAATATCAATTAAGGCTAATGAATGTAAAAAAGGAAATGAATCATCTAACTGATAAATCATTTCAGTTAAAGGTAAACAAAATTATTTATTTTTAAAACATTTTTTTTTATTGTGAAATATATTTATATAGCTTCTTCTTCGGGCTTCTCTCAACCTCTGTAAAACTTTTTTTATGATTTGGTGGGGTTAGGCTAATCGGTTTTTATTTAAGCGGTCCTATTTGGACAGAAGTGCATAACATCACGATTATCCAATCATCTACTGAATATAACGGTATATCAGTACTTTTGGGTCTGATGTCTCACTCTTCAGCAGGCATTTCAGCGGTAGATTCCTCCGCATTTCATCACCTATTCTACCTGTTGATTATCTTCAAGAACTCAGCTGAAGTTTTCGGCTTTGACAAAGTAATGTGACACTATTGTCCACCGAGGTTTTTATGGAGGGTTTCCTTCCCTTAGGCAAATTTTCTTTCTAAATTAACTTGCCTCCCCAACCCGATGGGTTTTTGTATATTTTTAAGGGTCCAACACTCCTCCTTTCTCTACACAGGCTAAGAACTGGTTATGGCATAGTTATTTACATATCTATTAGCCTGTCTATTCTATAGTGTGTTCTAAAAAGTGTGCAGTCCATCGTTCTACTCCATCAGTTTTCCGTAATCACTGTGCATTTGGTGGTAGAATTTTGGTTTAGTTAGAAAGAGTTTAAAACATATAGAATTCCATCCACTCTGTATTATTCAGAAAAAAAATCCATACAGAATTTTACACTGATGGTCGTTCCACAATCCATGTAGTATAAAACATGAATGAATGAAAATAATTTTATTATTCTGGGACTAGTGTCCCTTTAGAACAAGTTACAAATACAGAATATATATTAATATTTTGGTGTGTCCATAAAATACAATTTAATATTTACAGGTTGATTAGGAATACAATAAAGTTATTAATAATAAAAATATATAAAAACGTGTAAATATAAAATATACAGAGAAAGTAATTAAGTAAACGAAATATCGATGAATCACAAAATAATCAGAGTATCTGGGTGTATTTTGAGGTTTTTACAGCTTAGATTTTTAAGTGTATTTCGTGATCAATTGGATTGGGAATGGGTTAAATGTTTGAAGAGGAAAGATTTGAAAGGGGATATTGATTTTGCGTGACGAATATCTGAAGGTATAGAGTTCCAGAGGGAGTAACATGTATTAAAAAGGATTTATCAAACGCAGCAGTTCGGTGAGGAGGAGGATAGAGGTCGGACGCACGGGATCTGGTGGGACGGGATTGAAAGGAGTGTTTGAATTGTAGGATCTGTAGAATATAACTCTAATGGCTTGGTATAGGAAGGTTGTATATCCAAAATTTTTGACATTTTGGTGAGCTCTTTCAAAGTATATGTGAACAAATTTTGTTTTACAATACTGGTCATTTGCATTTTGAGAAGTAAATTATAAAATGTATTGTTTATAACTGTATTTTCTTTTTAAAATACAAAAAATGTATTTCGTATTTTCTTTCCAAGCCACCAAAACATAAAAAATGTATTTTATTTTAAACAGACAAAATATATTAACGATTTTTTAAAAATATTGTTGCAAGGCTACTTGTTAGCATGAGAATTCTCCCCTGTGATAATTAAGTTTAGACATTTTCGAGGTCAATTTTGTTAAATTTTTAATACATTGATTAGTTCTAAAAAAAAAAAAAAAAAAAAAAAAGTTTTCATTAATACAGGATTTCTTATCATATGAAAGGATGATAGAGCATATTTTTTTAAAGAAGAAAAACATGCCTTTTTTTTCTTTACTTATATTTTCAAGTACATTTCAGCAAAGAAAAAGGAAACATTTAATTCATGTAATATCTTGAACAATATTTAAAATGTAATCATTTAACGAAGCATCACTTTTATTATAAAATTTTCATAAATAATATTATTTGAGTAAAATATTTTATCTTCCATTAATTAATTTAAAATTATAGTTAATCTCATAAATCCTTTCTTCGCTAAAATAAACCTATTTTTTAAGGGGTTAGTTGTATGGCGCCACCTGATGAGAAATAAGTATTTTGTATTTGAAATACTTTTTCAGAAAACATTTTTATAATTAAAATACTTTTTGCTCAGGTTCTGTGTAGAAGTAATAACCTTTTAAGGCAACCTATATTTTCTCGTATGTGTGTTTAAAAAATTTATTATAGTGATTTTTATAGTATGGTTATTTTTAATTTACAGAAAAGAGCACTTCGGATACAAGAAATAAAACAGAGAGAAGCTCTTCAGAACGCTCACTATCAAGAAGCTCAACATAAAAGGGAACAAGATTTAATAGCTAGGCCTAATACCAAATCTAGACAAGGGTCTAATTCTAATTCCAAGCAATAAATATTTTTTATTGTATTGTTAATATTAATTTTTTATTAGCTTCCATTGTAAATATACTCAAAAAGATCAAATTATCATTAATGATATTTTATAATGTAATTATTTTTTAAAATAAATATTTTTTTAAGGATTCATTTTAATTTTTATTCGAAAACTGGTTGTACCGTTGTAGTTCAACATCACTTAGAGTTTTAGGAACTATTTCTATCGCTTTCATGAAGTCTTGTAGTGTAACATCTCTGACACCAACCTAATGACAATTACAAATTGACTTTATTAGTTCAATTGATTTTTCATAATCCATTGGATAAAATAATAATTGTTCGTCCAAAATTTACCTTATCAGGTGGTATTTCAGTCAAAGGGATCTTAACACCATTGGGGTTGTTAAAAGCACATGGTATCCATTTACCTAGAATAAATAAGCAATTTTTTTTTTAATTGTACTACATTATTATAAAGCATGCTCAAATCCTGGGAGAGAAAACTGTTGAGAAGAATATGGGGCAGAACTGCTGAGAACGGGATTTGGAGAAGAAGAAGAAATGAAGAGCTGCGTGAACTGTTTGGGGAATCCGATATTGTGGCATTGATAAAAAGAGCATGAATAAAATGGATATGACATGTGGAAAGAATGCCAAAGCGGATGCTCTATGAGAAGCCAGATGGCAAAAGAAGTAGAGGATGTCCTCAGAGAAGATGGCTGGAGGATGGCAGAGGATGATCTAAGACGGCTGGGTGTTAGAAGTTGGAGAGAAATGGCATAGGACCATGCAGATTGGTTGGCTGTAATGGAGGAGGCTCGTTTTCTTACAGGACCATACTGCTATTGTAATAATAATAATAATAATTAAATTATTACAAAAATTATATTACCTGTACAATTATCTCGACTTGGAATTGAAATTATTTTCTGACCATGTTGGGCTATTATAAAACTTTTGAATTGCATTTTTAACTGAGCTAAAGCTAAAAGATTGCAGCTAACAAATCATAAATACTATTAAAATAACAAAGGCCTATTTATTATATCAACGGTTAATTATGGATTGTACGATTCGTTGACTATGGATTGTTCGATCTCTTGATTATGGATTGAACGACTATTAGTTATTAAACTGTTATTTTCCATTGCAAAGTTTATTAAAATGGAATTAAGAGATTTTCATTATCTGTCATAGATAGGTCAAACCTTGTCACACTAATTGTAAGTGGATTCTGTTGGAATATCACGAAGGGAAGATTCACCAAATTATTCACTAATTTAATTTTCAAAAAAGTTGCATGACAATTTTTCGGAATAAACGTTGATACCTAATTATTTAAATATAATATCAGATCTATAATCACTAAACTACAATAAATGTATTTAAGGTTATAAAGGTATGCTTTATACATCCATGAAATGATTTTGTATTTTACTTCTTCTTTCACACAAGAACAATGAAATAGTTTTTTTAACAATTACATTGCCTTGATTAGGTGGACTTTAAAAACTTTCTACAAACGTAAAAATATTTTTTAAAGTTTAAATTTAGTTGGTAAATTTTAATTAATTTCCTTGAAAACGTGTGATTTACGTTAAATATTATCAGTTTTCAAAAATTATTATTTATAATTTTTTTGCTGCTTTCCGTTACCGTCTACAACTTTCTATATTAGATATTGATTTTTATAAAATTCTCCCCTTTCCAACAATATATTATAAATTTACTTTCTAACTTGTATTTCCTGAGATTCATTTTCAATCTATACAAGCATTTTTATTTTTTTTCTCCTTTATTTAATTATCAAATTCTTTCAAAAGTTATAATTAGCATTTTTTCATAACTTTTAATAATGAGAGATAGTTGATTATTTAAAATAAACCATATTAAAGGTAATTTAGAGGGAAATGCATATGAACATTGGGCATTTAAGCCCTGTAAAGTAATATCAACGAGGATAAGACCGAAATGATATTAAAGACCACATAATTATACAATGATGCAACGAGTTTAATCAAAATCGTTCACACAGACCATTTTTCAGGACTTGGTTATTTGGACTCAGAAGACCTCAAAACGTGAATTTCCGTTTAAAACTCAGATTCAAAAATTTTCACGATCGCAATACTTACACTTACTATATATTACATATATAGGTAAGTAAAAATTATATTATATGTAAATATGAAACCAGAATATACATTTGTATAGAAAATACATGTTTTGTATTGTAAAAATGTTAAAAAATATTTTCCAAACCTAGCTATTCCATGTGAGAAAAACTGTTACTCTTTCATGGCGAACCAGTCATCTTCATTAGAGATGAAGTGCTGCAAAGCAATTAGTCGAATGAAGCCAAGTCTAGTGAGTAAGGCGCACACACTAATGTTTCCCAACTGAACACCTCAATTGTTTCCTTCAGTGGTTTTGTTGTGTGCGGAAGTGCATTATCATGAAGAGAAACCTTTTATGTTGGTTTTTTTTTTTTAATATTCTGGTCGTTTTTTGACCGATAATCGATTCAAATCGATCACTTGTTGTAGTTGGTTTTGCCAAGTTTTAACAGGTCATCATAAATCACACCCTTTTGATCTTAGCAAACACAGACTATTGTCTTTTTTCCATTGTGTCTATCGATATTGATGATTGATGATATTGATGGTTCTCCTAGACGGTTTGATGGTTTACCCATGATCTTTGATACAATTGATGGATAAATGACTTTATTTTTATCTGGCAAGCAGCGTTTCGAAAGTGGGTTTTCAGTTTCATAGCTAACTTTTATTCAATTCCTGTGGGACTTATTTTCCCACCTCCTGGATCTTTCCCATTACTTTCAAATTGCAAATAGAAATAGCTTTTTGTGTCACATTTTATTGATCCCCTAGCTATTGTTGGGTTTGAATATTATCCTCATTTTGTAATGCTTGCAATGCCCCATCTTCAAACACTTTTGGTTGCCTTTCATGTTCTTTATTTCTTACGTAAAATCCCCACTTTTGAATATTTTATAACATTGCAATTTACCAAGATCATGCTCATTGTAAGCTTTGACAAGCATTCAATGCAATTCTGCAGCAATTTTCTCTAAATGGTAACAGAAAACTAATGCTGTCCATAAATCATAGTTTGTAGACATAAAACTCAACTTGTTCAAAACTATGAAAATGATGGTGTTAAATGAAACTTGTATTGTGAGTTAAAAATCTTTGCCAGCTGTTAAAGAAACAAAATTATGTCAATAATGCAATTTAATAGTAACTATATTTATAACTAGAGATATCCATGAATGAATTGTGGTTTCATATTTACACAACTGATATATTATATAATTAATATAAATAAATAAAAACCTTAAAAGTAATTACCTTTTTGAAAAAGCCATGTTTGGCTGGTTTCTAAATCAGTAATCGGTTCTTGTAAAGCAAAACTAGTCAAGTTTATCAAATCCGATCCCGAGTATCCATTTGTCTCATTTCCAATTATTTCCCAATCTTCATTACTTATATCTAAACCAATTCCTTCACACTTATTTTTAATTATTTCTATCCTCGAAGTTCTAAAATTAAATGTTCAGATTCATTTTTTATATAGAGAAATATTATTTTTATATAAAATTAAGTAAATTATACCTGTCAGGTAGCGATATATGTAATCTACATTGAAACCTCCTCATGAACGCCACATCAATATCCCATGGGCAATTTGTTGCACATATAATGAAACATGTATTCTCTGAATTCAAATTTTGGTCAAGTTCGATCAAAAGTTGGTTTTTGATGCTTCATTTCAATATTTCCGAATTGTAAATACATAAGAAATAATAATTAGTAAATAAATGAAAATTATATCCAATATATTTCTGTGACAAGGTGTTTTTATATGGCTGTATCAAATGAAATGTGTTTTGATGATGAGAATAATAAAATATGAGTGATCCAATAATGATTTATTAATCAGTAAATATTATTCTGTGTTATAATGTGCAATAGAACAAATATTGTCAAAATATCATCATCAACAATATTTAAAATTAATTAAGAAACTTAAAATTTAAAAAATTACAATGATTCCATGAAGTTACACTGCTAGGACTTGTTTGTAGTAAGAGAATTTTATTAGTGATTGCCGAAAAAAATTATTTTCTTTGTACTGACGTTTTGGCCCAAGTTTAAGGTCTTCATCAAGACTAAGCCAAGACAAGTTAACTAAACAAAACATAAAATAGTAAGAAAAATAATTTATTATTTACTAATAAATAAATACTAAGGAATGAAGAAAAACTATGCCATGTAAGATAAATTAAAATATACAAGTACGGCATATGAATGCCTCTTTAGTCCAAAATACAATTGCAAAAGACCACATGGAAGACCGAAAAGCAGATGGATAGATTTAATCAACAACGATGAAATAGAGTTGCATGCAGTCAACTGGAAAGAAGCCTAGATGTTGGCTTGTTAAGGCAGCAAAAGATCTACACGGTCTGTAATGGCAGCAGGAAAAAAAAAGGGTGGTATCGTATATAATGCCAAGACATGAAAATATTTGTGAAATATCTGTAGCAAATTTAAACAAATTGTAATATATAGTATAATGTAAAATATTTAATATAATGTATATATTTTTTAAATATATAATATAATATTTCACGTATATTTTCATGTCTTCTAACCAGAAGTGCCCATTCACCCCAAGATCCTACCCTCCTACTCCCAAGATATTTTATTGCTCACTTATTCTTAAAAATGGAGCAAATTAAGATAGAATTAGAAAAATTGTTGATCATATACGACTACACTTGCTGCAGTCCGTTCCATGTTTTCTTCTAGTCCCTTAAAATGAAACTTGTCATTTCAAAAATTCATAACGCCGCTGAAAAGTGACCGCCTAAAAAATTCCTTACTTCTCACTATGTACAATACTTATATATTTAAATTAAATAATTGTATAACATATTAATTTTTATAACATTTTATCCTATTATTTTTGTTTGATTATCTCGTTTTTGCTCAGTCCAGATGAGGGCCAAAACAATGGAACAAAGAGAATAATTTTTTTTTTTCATTTTCAGCCCCTAACTAACTTTAAAAATAAAGCACTTTACTGAAAAATGTAATTTATTATGAAGAAATGAATGGTTGTGGATTTAAAATGACATAGAGTTGAATGTTGCAATTTTGATTATATAAAATAGAAAATATAGCCAAGAAAAATTGTCCATGAACATGATTTTGGCCCAAAGCTTAAAATGTTGACAAATAGAAAATAAATAATAAAACATTTATATGATAAAAAAAAAAGATATCTAAATTTTTGAAAAACAACAAAAAATAATAATCATTATATTCTCTAATAAAAAAATATAATCAGTCCCTTTCATTACCTTCTTGAATGATCTGCTTCTCTGTCATTTCGCCTTCGGCAAATGCTGTCAATCTCATCTATAAATACCAAGCATTTGCTCTTATTCTTTCTGGTAAATTCAAAAAGATCTTTAATCATCCTAAATAATTAAATATTTATTAAATTAATCAAATTAAATTTAATACTAAAAATTCCACATCTTTACTTAAATACATCATCTTTACTTTTCTGACTCTCCAATATATGAAGATAATAAATCAGCACTTGATATGCTGTATAGCTGAGCTTTTGCTTCGAAAGCTAGAGCAGAAGCAATTTTAGATTTCCCAGTTCCAGGCGGTCCGTAGAGTAGAATTTGACTCCATGGTTTTCTTCCTCCTAAATATCCATTAAACTGAATGAATTTAAATTTTTTGTTCCAATATTTAAATATAAAAAAATTACCTGTAAAAAGTTGAGGATACTTCAGAGGATGTAAAATTGTGTTTTTAAGCAATAATTTTACATTTTCAAGCCCAACAATATCTTTCAGTCCATTTCCAGTCACTTGACATAAGGTTGACCTGATTACTTCTTGGCGGTATTCATAATTGTTATCCTTGAGTTTTCCTAATAAATTATATTTAAAATGTAATTTAAATCTATCAATATGTAAAAGTAAAATATTAATCAATTTTTTATTTCAATGGTAAAGAATGTTTTATGTACCTTTTGGCTCAACTGTATCTTGGCATTGTAAATTATTTACAGTTACTTTATTTTCAGGATTAATACCGGAAGAATAAGCGACTCTTATTTTCTCTTGTTGCCACTTAATCTGATTTAAAATGTTTTCTAGACATTCCTAAATGAAAATTCGTTAACTTGGTAAGTGAAGAGTATTTAGAAAAATAATATTATATTTCTGCTTAAATTACAATTAAAAATTCATTTGTTTCTATTGAGATGAGCTCTCCTATACGAGATATACAAATATCATAGTATGTTAACAAAGTAGGGGCATCCTCTTCTGAAAATATTTTATGCAGATTTTCAAATCTGAAAAATATAAAAAAAATTCATTAAATATTTCTGCAAACAGGACTATTTACTTGAGAAATAGATACACTATTTCTAAAATATTCATTAAAACTTACATTTTCACTGTTTCTGGAAAAATAAATATTTTTTAATAAATAATTTTATTTTGGTATAGTGAAAACTTATATGTTTATTTTTACCTTGATATGTTTGAGCTATGTCTTCTACTTTTACCTCCATTCTATTATCTGAATCCATTGTTTGTTATTAAAGACTATGATAAAAGTTCATTTAACAATGTGTATTTACAAAAACAATTGTAATATTTGTTGATGGTGATTAAATCTTAATCAGGAGAACATATATTTGTGTCCTGTTGCAATTGAATTACATTTTTTTGTAAATGATAAGTTTCTTTTAAAGTACCTTAAAAAATATGGAAATTTAAAAATATTTACTGTTAAAATCTTTCAACATCATTACTTTTTTATTATTTATTTAGATTATAATAACGAATTAAATACATGGATAATTATTACTATTAATTTAAATTTCGTAGGTAAATAAAATAAAGTTTTTATCGATTTCTGTGCTTGGTCAAGTTCAATAAGCGATGGCATCGGAAATACATGGGATCCATCTAAACGATTCGATGGAAATCAGCGCGTTTTTTAATTCATTGATTGAACAACCAGTGGCTCAGCGGTTCCATCTGCTATGAAGGTTGATGGATACGTTGAGTATAACCCCGTTATAACCTTAAACTAGCAGTGTTGTTATTTACACAACCTATTCATATCCCAAAGTGGTGGGCGTTTCTGCTACTTTTTAAAAACGTAAATGAACTGTTCGTTGACAAAAAACAACAGTTCCTAAGAACTGTTGAAAAAAATAGTTCATAGAACAACGCAACGATTCATGTTGTAAGACCTATTCGTTTGATAACAGTCTTATTCCATTTAAAATGCACTCAACTCCTTTAATGACAAATCTGAAAATTAATGAAACGTTTTATGTATTAAGTTTGGCATTGTTCGAGGTTGAAATTGACAACCTTCTAATTTATTTTTAATATTGGTCGAATGCTTAATCTTAAAAATTACTTTTTAACTAATTAAAACTGAAAATTATTTTTTACGCTTATAACACTTCTTATCTTAATGATGTAAAGATGGTTGACCCTGACATATGTGAAGGAGTTGATCGGGGGGGGGGGGGGGGAGAAGGGGGTGCGGTCAAATAAATACTAAATTATAGAAATAGTATTATTTAATTTTTTTGCCGAAGTTTCGACCCACTTTGCAGGTTTTCATCGATCGTAGGATGTAGCACTGCAGTTGAAACACAGTGTTGAATTTTTTTGCACGTGCTCTGGGACTAACACTTGTACTTTTTGGGATTACATTGGAAAAATTGTTAAAGGAAACATACATTTTTCAATATTCCATTCAATGTATTTTCTGATTTCCATCTGATCAAAACCAAGTAGCAAATAAGAGGCTTCTCTCTTTAATCTGCTAATGTTTGAGAGGATGGAATGCTTCCTACAAAAACTTCAGGTAATCCATCAGTGGAAGTATACCACTGGGATAGTATAATGCTTACCTTAATTAATCTTCTCATTAACAAATCTTTACTAGCTAATTCTAAAGTGAGCATAGATTTCCTTTTATATATATATATATGGGCACTGGTTGTGTACATTGTGGAACATTTTTAAAAATTGTTGGAAGTGTTCCATGTTTCAGGCCAGGACCAGATACATTTGTGAAGGTAATCGTTTCATTGTTCAATAGCTTAATGCTATTTAAAATAGCGAGGGACGGGTCCTCTTTTCTGTGAGCCCGCTGCCAGAAAAAAATCACATAAATATGAATCGAGGAGTTGCCTCGCAGTTGCGGAATGAGGTGCGCTCACAGAAACGATGATCATGGGATGAATTCATCTAGGAAGAGTCAGCGAAGAATCCGTGAGGTATCCCATACAGGATGGCTCTTGGAAAACTGACCCCACAGCAAGTCATTGCAGCCCTGAAGCAAGGGGGCACTCTGGAGGAAACAGCAAAGATGTTTATTAAAGAGGCATATCCCAGGGATGATCCATTACAAGATGATAACGACCATATATTTGTGAGAAGAGCCACGTTATACCCGCCTGGGGCTGACTTGTGCCCATCATGGGACATTTGGGTCCTCCGTAGTGCCGTGGAATGGCAAAAGACTGACCGGACCCCAGGTTTAGATGCGATTGATGCGGCAATGCTCAAGAATAGCATGCCCTATTCAGAGGATACGCTGCTTGTGATTCTCAACGACTGCCTAGATAGGGGATACTTTCCAAGAAGCTAGAAAATTGCTGATGTCAGATTCTTCTACAAAGGAAGAGACAAGGACAATTAACTTGCCAAATCATACAGGTCTATTTGTCTCCTTCCTGTAATGAGCAAGGTATTGGAAAACCTGGTGGTCTTGAGCCTTCGGCCAGTCTTATCAAGAAGGAGCCATCCACGGCAATATGGATCCACACACGGACAAGGGAACTGCAGATGCCATATTGAGTGTGCGTCATGACGTAGAAGAAAGAGCGGAGAAGTATGTTATGCTTCTCCTGTTTGACAGATTTGACAGCCCGAAAGCTTTTTTTTTCATAAAAATGACGATAATTACTTTTGAAAAAAAGAAGAAACCAACTATCTATATGAAATGATGTTTAACTCATTTCTTAAATCCTTTTAAAAGTAATTAAATGAACAATAATACTTTAAGAGGTAACTTTTTCATATATATTTTTCTATAAAACATGGTTATATTTATATATTTTGGGAAAAGGGGGTTCAGCCAAAGTATTGCGTAGAATATTCGGACCAAAGAAGGATGAGTTAACCAGAGAGTTCAGACGGTTACACAACGCCGAATTGCGTGAACTGTATCCGGGTAATATAATTGAGGCAATTTCAACGCAGCGAATTAAATGGGCTTGTAAAATAGCTGGGCTTATTAACGAGAGAATTCCTAAAAAGTTAATATCTGCTGTAATAAGTGATTGGTGGTGTCGGCATCGAACCTTCGGGTTCGCTAAGCCTTTTATTATTATTATTATTATAGAAGAGAAAAGGTATCTCCAAGTGAGGTTGTCATCTACCTCGCCATAAAAATTGGTCGAATGTTGAACATGAGTCATTATGGCCCTAAATGGACTCAGTCATGTCGGAGGCGCCTTCTGGGGTCTCAGATACCCAGTTACAATGACTATATACAAAGGAGTAGTTTTGGGAATTCTGAGATATGTGTCCCAGCCTGGAACCTAAACCTCTTGCACCAACAGAAGAGGTTAACATCGATTCAGAGATTAGCTTTACTTCGGGTCACTGGAGCCTATAGAACGGTATCTCATGAGGTAGTGCAAGTACTGACAGGAGGACACCTCTCGATCTTATCCTGTGAGAAGACTATTACCTCTTTAAAATGAAAAGAGAAGGTTCGGCGGATCTACCAGAACATCTAAAGCTGAGAATTGATGAAGACCCAAGAAGATTGAACATAATTTTCAGGGAGGACATAGTTGATCAATGGAACCGGCGATGGATGGCAACTCAATTGCAGAGTATGTTTCCCCAGTTAATGAGCAGAGAGAATTATCCACATTATAGGGAATTCGTATACGGGTGGAAAGATGCTGTAGGCTTCATTCAGTTGTATCCTTTCCAACAGTCTGAATAAATGGTGCTTTCCTCTTGTATATTATTTTTAATACATTCTAATAAAGTTCTTGCCTTTCTGTCCTTTATTTTTACGATGAAACACTCATCTGTTTCTCGGCAAACATCCATTGTTCAGGAAGAACTCTCCCTAAATGATTTGTTCTTTTAGAAAAATGACTCTCCTCTACTTCGACTTTCCCAGACCCCCCAATTTTCTTAGTTGACCTGTATAACATGTTATGGGCACAAACTTCTTATAAAAATTTGTTCCACATTGATACACCTGTTCGATAATTTCAGTTGTTCTTTGCCCCACTTTATTGTTTTCAAATTATGTGACCACCCATAAATTAATTTTAAAGTGGTTGAAAAGGTAATCTTCAACCCCTTTAACCACATCCCTTACCTCATAGATAAATTTTTGTTACAAGTCCTGAGAAAGCACCTCCATTCAGTCTTCCTGTCCAACTTCATTTCATGACCTTCTTCACAATTTTTCACCTTTGCAATTATCCTGGTGTCTTGAAAATATTTGAAAGCCTCTTCTACTGCTGACTGAATAAATAAACACGTTATTGTAACAATAGTTTACCAACTGACCAATGCAGATCTTTGCAATGTGGCCTGCATACTTAAGGGTTTCCAGTTGGAACCCTTTAATAAGCCAAATAATTCTTCCGGAGAACAGGTCTGCCGCCTAAAACATTTCTCTCTTATCACAGTATGTGTGACAAGTCTACAAACAGTGAATGATATTCTCTTTTTCTTGAGAGTTACATACTCGAAAGCTATCATTGTTTTCAACCATCCATGGTTTCATGCTCAAATCCACCAATTCAGTCCTACATCGCAAAATTGACCTTATAGTCACAATGTCAAAACTACCATTAAGATAGGATATAACAGTGCCCACTGAGAATAGTCCTCCTTAAATAGAAAAACTCGAATAGAGACATCTTTGAAGGTTATTTTGTTTTTCTAAGTCCTCTACTCTAAGTCTAACAACAGTCAATTTTCCGGGCTTAATGAATTTAATCTATATTTTCATAATAGTTCTGTTCATAGATAAATAATGAAAGACATTGAAATAATTACAATTACTTAATCACTTAGGTATGTAAAAAAAATAACTAAAAGGAGACGAGAGTATTAAAAACTAATGCCTTTAAATTCAATGGCCTCTACAGAGTTCTCTCATTAAATGGAGCCAGAGTTCTCTCATTAAATTTGGGTCAAGAAAGGATATGAGCTGCAAATAAAAACAAGGGGTTTTATATTACAGCTTTTATATTATTCTAGAGCATCAATTACTTGTATCAACAAATTTATAAAAATATTGCTTCATATTTATTTTACATTTTATAATTAAATATTTACAGTATACTTTATTATCATCTAATTTATTTTCTCTACATCACTATCATATATAATCGTGTGATGATCAGTCTTCAATAAGATGTGGTTCTATCTGTAAAAGAAAAAAAAAATCAATAATTCAGAATAATTATAACAGTGGATAAAGTAAAAACATTTTCTATAGCAAATACACATTATATTG